GCATGCTCTTTCTAATTAAAACATTGACCAAAATGCTTGGTGTTTTTTTTTCTATTTATGACTATTTTTAACTTGCAGATTTTACTTCCTTTGAAGATTTTTTTTCTTTCATTTACATTTTAAGTAACTACACCTCTGCTTCAAGTTTGTTCTTAGAAGATTCCACACCCGCATGTTGGCTGAAGCCTCTGTGCATGCTTTTTCTCCTTCCCACTTCCATGCTTACTCCCCCATTAACTCCACGTCTAATGTTTCAAAAAGGCTTGAGTTTCAGTGCCAGGAAGCCAAAAGAAAACAGTGAACTGAATTCAGCGATCCCTTAGCACTGGATTTGCTGAGCTGTGGTGCATGCACTTCATCTGGTGTGCACGCTGCTTCAAAGCAACGTGGCGAACGGGGAGCCGACGTGCCAGTGCCGCTACCTGCCGCAACCTCCACGGCTGCTGCTGGCCTGTTCGTAACAGTTCTTGCCGCTGCTGATGTGCACATCAGCAGAAAAAACCCAGCAGAGCACTGGCATAGCACACTTCTAGTCTTTGATTCAAAAAACCAGTTAAATAGTGTTCGAATCCAAGCCTGGTAGAGCTGAATCACATGCTTATTTTATATATTTTTAACAGGCATTAAGGAGTTGTGATCCTGTGAGGTAATAATCATTAGCTCCCACAGAAGTCTATGGAAAAACAGCTGCAAGTTTACGGGAAGCTAAGTTAATAGGGAACAATATATTTTGCTGTGGAACTTGGCAAGCCTTTTATTTGTTTGTGCTTCATCTTACAGTGATCAGTTAAAATACTGTCTTTGTCATGCAAACATAATGCCTGGTAGTTGTCAGCAGCGTCAGTGATAGCCCCTGAACAGGGACAATAATTGTTAGAAATGAATTCCAGCTGTTCTACACTCAAGCCCAAAATGAAAGGGACAATATTTCTATTAAACAGGCAAGATTTATTTGAAATTTTTTGAATAATTGTATCTTTGAATAGCATATTCTTAAAAAAATCAATTAAAAAAATTGATCATGTGAAGAAGAAATGCAATGTGACTATATAGACTTTAGGATGTGAACATTTCTGCAGGCTTCTAGTAGCTTCTAGTAGCCTGCAGAAACCCCAAACTCTTGGTTTTTCTTCCTCTGATAATATTCCAGTTAGTGTTACAGTTCATGCTTCTCCAGGTAAGGTTCTATTGTCATGCTGCTGTATGTGTCTCTTTTAAGAAATTTTAACTTTCAAGGGAAAGTGGAAGATATGACTGTTGTACTGTATTAAGGAAAACGTAATTAAGGGAGAGAAAGACGCTCAAAACTGATCAAAATTGACTTACAGAAACAATACGGCCTTAAACTAGGAAAGGCAGGTTTAGATTAACTGTAAGGAAGAGCTTCCAAGTAGTACGAGGGATTTGAGAAAGGAACAAGTGCCGGGTAGTCGCTTAGACTTGTTAGTGGAAATGCGAACACATGAAAAGAAGATAAATACAGAAAATGGGGACCTAAAAACACTGGAATTCCCTTCCTTGCTTCTCTGGCTGCGTCACAGGAGTGTTGGGGCAGACCACGTGCCCCGGCGCCGTGGGTCACCGTCTTCCTGCCCAGGGCTAACTCAGAAAAAGAAGGAGGCGAGTTAGCAGTGATATTGGGACAATCAGAGGTGCAGCGCTCGAGTTTGCTCCCTTTCCCTCTTTCAGTTACTGGCAAGCACTCACCCTCTAGCATTATAATTTCCTACAAGTTTCAGGGTGTGTCTTGGTATATAGGTTCCTGGAAGGAGAGCTCTGATACGTGACTTGTGGATTGGTGGAGGAGAAGGAAGAAAGATTGATCTGTAATTAAGTTTTAGACAGGCATACAAATTCTGAGATTAACAGTCCCTTTGGAAACAGGAATCCCTGAATAGATCATACCCACAAAAACTATGGGTTTTTTATTGCCGCTGTTCAAGTGTTATTTTGCTTTGAGAGGTCAGGCAGTAAAAAGTTAGGAAATGCCATAATGTCACCTTCTTGTTCAACTTTAACCCTCGGGTGCATGAGCGTTATGTCGGTCTTGGTCACATACTGTTTTTTCCACGGATCACCTGCTTCACTCTGTGTGGAAAAAAATCACTCATTTGGGGGTTGTGCAGTCTCAGAGGGCCATTCTGACCCTGTTCTGTAGGAGGGAAAAGCATACAGTACCGTGGCACTGGGTTGCAGGAAGATGGTGCCCTGTAGGATGGCATTCTGTCCTGCGATGTTAGTGAGGTCTTTTACATTGAATTTCAGGATGCCTAACATCATGCTGTATGTCTGATTTGCTGAAAATAAGAAACAGAATTAGTGACCAATGTCCATCTGTGTATGTCCAGGCCTTTCCAGATGTTCAGCTGTCCAGTCAGCAATACTGCACAGCTGCTATGATGTGAGACCATATGTCCAGAAATCTCAGGGAGCTGAGGAAAATTTTCAGTCTGTCTGAAGAAAATTGCGGTCGGAGAAAGACACGTGTCCAGGAAAACCCAGATATATGATAACCTTATCAGTGAGGGAATTAATAACTAATTTGGAAAAAAGTCTGAGTATGCAGTAAATAGGGTTGATATTCAGACAATGCGAATAAAGCGAAATTGGATAACCGCTCATTTTGGTGAGTGTCACCCATTCAGTGCGGGAATCAAGCGCCTGTGGAGAAAATGGGACACAGTCATGTAACTGGTTGTATCAAAATACATAATGCACAAAGGAGATGCATACAGACTGCAGAGACGCCTTCGTTTTGGCATTTGCAAGTTTGTAAATAATAACAAAACAGCAGGTAAAATCCTGTTAGTGACCCCACCTATAGGAGAGGGCCTTCATTGTCCCTGATAGCCCATTGGGTCAGATTAAGTGGGAGACAGGCTAAAAAAGGGACAGTAGTCCTGCATTAGTATTAGTGTTGCACGTGGCTTTGAAATAGCATGCTAAATAAGCAGTCCTCTGCATTCCCCCTCCCACCCACCACTCATACTGTGACTGCGTCTGCTTGTGGATACATTTGTATGTGTGCAATATTTTAAAGTTTAAAAAAAAATATTTTGGATCTTGCTTAATTATGTGTTGCTGTATTTCTGGGAGAAAGAATTCTTGTCTGACCCTGGATAGGGATCAGTTCAGCTTATGTTCCAAAGAATAGAGACTAATATCCCTCGTGACCTTTCAGCCTAGCTGAGGCAGGCTTTTTAACAAGTGGACTTAAGACCGCATGTGTGGCAGCTACTGACATGAATGTCTGTAGTGTCTCTTCTTGTCAATGATCCATGGACTGAGGAATCTCAGAGGGTATCCTGACATGCAGTGGAGCTGTTATGGTCTAATGCAGGAAAGAACCATGCAATGATTAGATGAAAAGCTGGTGTCACAAGCAGTGTATAAGTTGTTCTAAATATACCTGATAATAGTTGTCCCTGGCCGTGTATTTACTTAAAAGATGTGACTGTGATATGGTAGAAAAAACAAACAAAGGAACAACAACAACAAAAAAACTGTTTGTGACTTCTATATGATGTATATAATGTTGCACAAACTCTATAATATAATATAGAACAAGTAATAAAAAATGAGTATAAAAAAGAAAAATGTAAACTAAACACTAGTCAATTCCCCCACCCTAGTTGAAGAGTGGGGTTGTCCAGAAGACAATCCAAGAAAAAATCCTTTCTAAAAATAACTTCAAGTTTTCTTTTAATTTTGGACATATTTGTTTTAACTTCCTTTAGAAGCTAGCTATTATGAATTAACATTACCATACCTAACGTGCATAAAGGATTTGTAATTTGTTTAAACCATCTTTAGCCGTTAGTTTAAAATAGCTGGCCTTTTTGGAATACGTCCTCAAAGAATTGCCCAGGTCTCAGGGAGAGCACTGATTTAGAACTGAAGTCTGTGGTTGCTGGTTCAAATGTCTCAGGTATATGTGCAATGTTATATTACAGAATGACAGAATCTCAGAATGGTTGAGGTTGGAAGGGACCTCTGGAGAACGTCTAGTCCAACTCCCCTGCTCAAGCACGGTCCTCTGGAGCACACTACCCAGGACTGTGTCCAGACGACTTTTGAATATCTCCAAGAACGGAGACTCCACCACGTCTCTGGGCAGCCTGTTCCAGTGCTCTGTCACCCTCACAGGAAAGAAGTTTTTCCTCGTGTTCAGACAAAGCGTCCTGCGTCTCAGTTTGTGCCCGTTGCCTCTCGTCCTGTCGCTGGGTGCCACCAAGAAGAGTCTGGCCCCATCCTCTTGACACCCTCCCTTCAGATACTTCTGCACATTGATGAGATCGCCTCTCAGTCTTCTCTTCTCCAGGCTGAACAGGCCCAGCTCCCTCAGCTTTTTCTGATAGGAGAGATGCTCCAGTCCCTTCATCATCTTAGTAGCTCTCCACTGGACTCGCTCCAGGAGCTCCCTGTCTCTCTTGTCCTGGGGAGCCCAGCACTGGACACAGGACTCCAGGTGAGGCCTCCCCAGGGCTCAGGAGAGGGGCAGGATCACCTCCCTCCACCTGCTGGCAACACCCCAGGATCCCACTGGCCTTCTTGGCCACAAGGGCACGCTGCTGGCTCTTGGTCAACTTGTTGTCCACCACAACTCCTACCAGGACTCCTTCTCGGCAGAGCTGCTTTCCAGCAGGTCAGCCCCCAGCCTGCCCTGGTGCATGGGGTGATTCCTGCCCAGGTGCAGGACCCTGCACTTGCCTTTGTTGAACTTCGGGAGGTGCCTCTCTGCCCAACTCTCCAGCCTGTCCGGGTCCCTCAGAATGGCAGCACAGCCCTCTGGTGTGTCAGCCACTCCTCCCAGTTTAGTATCATCAGCAAACTTGCTGAGGGTGCACTCTGTGCCTTCATCCAGGTCACTGATGAATAAGTTAAACAAGACTGGACCCAGTATTGACCCCTGGGGGACACCGCTACCTACAGGCCTCCAACTAGACTCTGGGCCATTGATCAGAACCCTCTGAGCCCTGCCGTCCGGCCAGTTCTCAGTCCACTTCACCATCCACTCATCTAGCCTGCACTTCCTGAGCTTGCCTACGAGGACGTGATGGGAGATAGTGCCAAAAGCCTTGCTGAAGTCCAGGTAGACAACATCCACTGCTCATATTCACCTTCTCAAACCTATTTCACCTGTTGTGGTGTAAAGAGTAGATGCTAAGTAAAACTGAAGGGCCTAAATCCAAGGGAAAGATCCAGAAAACCTATGGAGGCATCTATCACTCACTAGTTGTATCAGTGTACCTCTGCCAAGTTCCCCGTGTGCTCCAAGTTTAAATGCCTGTAAATGTCTAGAAGATCCCTAGTGTGATGCGCCAGGCATCACACTCTCGCCTGAGCTCCCGAGTGACTGAGATGAGGCCAGAAACCCCTGCAATCTTGGTTGCTGGAGGAAATGGGAGATGTGTTCGGTTTCCCTCTTCAGTTTAAATGCATGTAAATTTTCCCACCTCTGGCTTTCCAGTTATCTTCACTAACGCTCTTCTAGTGTAACCACCTGTTTGCGTGTCCTCTGCGCCTTGCGTTCTCAGCTGTAGGGTGGACCAGCTTCCTCTGGGGGCTTGGAGATTGGCTCCTCTGGTGAATAGAGCACCCTTTAAGGGATTAAGGGGAACTGGATGGGAGTTTCAGTCCTTGTAAGGCAAAAAGGAGTTGAACGCGGGCCGGGAGGGTGAGAGCTGGCTATAATAAGCAGATAAGAGAGAATGCTAAAATAAGTACATATTCTTTTTAATATTTTGGATTTCTAGGAACTAAATGCAGCAGTTATTTAGAAATGTTGCGTTTGGTCTCTCTTTTTTTGGTGCATGTGGGGAAGACCTCCAGAGGTTTGCGGACTGTTTTCCATACGAGGACAAGCTGTTTGTGTAACACATCCTCACCCTGATGCGTGTGAAGATTGAATGCTGGATTCTGTTCACTTACCAGTTTGCTCTTTGAATCTGAATGGGTTTGGGTTGTGACCTAGGTCAGTTCTTACCTCTTTCTCTGTTTCCAGTGTAATGCAAGTGACTTACCCCTTTTGCTGTTGGTTATCATCTTCTGTATTTCAAAATTAAATGGTAAAAAAATCTTAATTAACCACAATTCTAGGGCTCTCCAATGATGTATCCTGCCCTTTCTCAGCACCAAGAGAAAACAAAATTAGGGTATATTACCCTTTCCACCGTAGTTCTGCTTCTGCCCAGAAGCTGATAACAGCCAGTGGGAGTGATCTGAACGCTGAAATGTGAGGCACAGTGCGAGGGCAATGCCCTGCAGGGGTGGGGGCAAGTGGGCCCCAGTGAGTATCATTGCGCTCGGTGGTGTGCCAGCTATAGGATAGCAGGGTATTCTTGCCCGGAAAGTTTTCAGCAAATTGGAAGCTATGTGACCTTGAGGTTTAAGTGAAGGTAATGGTTTTCCGTGGCTTAAGTGCGAGGAGAGTGTGTTAGGGAGTGAGGAGGTGGTGGAGTACACCTAGTATGCAACTGCGGGCAGAAATATGAATCATTCGTTTGGCAGTATTCAAAGGCAGAACGTGTGTTTGCTGTAGGCATCATTCAGGAGGGCAGAGTGAAGGTCATGTGGATACATGCTTAACTCTGTATTTCCTTGTTTGAATTTTGCTAAGCACAAGGTAATGCAAAGGCACAAGATACATCCTCCTTAATACTATCTTGATCTTGTCCTGCTTGTTTAATAAAAGCTACAAACATTTTTATAACCCTCTAGGATGTAAAAAGGATGTCTAGGATGTTTCCCTGTGTTCTGGCTTCTCTCTGCTACCACCAAGCCTCCTACGGCAGGCACCCTTGTATCACAGGCTTTGTACAGTTGTGCAGCCTGAACTGAGTACTGACCTCAGCCCTGCACCCTGCTCTATCCCTGTCTAGTCTTACTCCCCCTTCCCTGTTTTGCGCACGTCACCTTGGCCTTTCTAAACCTTTGATTCACCTAGCGGTCGACACCTCCAAGCTGCCTTCCCCTCCTTTGGCCAGTAGGGACTGATGTGCTTTCTGTGCATTAAGGACCTAGATTCAGATAAGCTAAAGCGGCAGGCACTCCATAGGTCTTGAACCTTAAATACAAAGCTGGCTGTACAACATAGCTTACTCTTGAATGTGTGGTTTCTTTCTTGAACGGTTACTGGGAAAAGTTAGGCTCTGGGTTTACTTTAGTCATGCTGCGATTTGCTGCTTGTATAAAAAAACCTTAGTGAAATCTGCTAATTTTACTTTGTTTTTGGGACTAGGGGAAGGGTATATTTTGGGAATCTCCATTTTAAGAAATCTTAAATTTGGATTACTAACTCTGCTCTAAATCCCAGAGTGACATGCTAAATTTCATGAAAAATCCAAGTAATTGTGTGGATACTGGAGTGCTTTGAAATAATGATATTTAAACAGAATGAAGTTCTCAACTTTATCTATAGCTGAGCTGTCATTCAGCTGTATTGTAATCTCACGAGGATAAGGACTCATCAAAGTGCTTAGTGCAGACTTCCTTGGTGGTGGTTCGAGCATTTAGGCACGTATGTAATACAACAGGATAATAAACAATTTAATGCCTCCTGTAATTTGTGATTCATGCGTTACTGACTGCTAATATATTGTGGTGGTCTACAAATTAAAGGTAGGCTTGTTAGGTCCTTGAAGTCAACAGGGTTCAGTGTGCACAGGGTATTTAATTTTCTGGCACTAATTTAACAGGATTGGGGCGAAAGGCAGTGAAGAAGCTGTTTTTTCTTTTTACCACCGATAAAACAGTTCTGATTTATGATCTTAAACCTTAGACTAGTAAAGAGATATTCCTCCAGAGCTAAGTGGTTGGTAAAGGAAAAAAAAGATGTAATTCAGCTATGAGAGAAATAGCAAAATCAAAGTTTCATGATTCAAATCATTGTGAAAGTTCTTTTCTGATGATTATGTTCTCTTTTAGATTTCTGAGGGAAGATGAATTTAGCAGAGATTTGTGATAATGCCAAGAAAGGAAGAGAATATGCACTCCTTGGGAATTATGACTCTTCAATGGTATATTACCAGGGTGTCATCCAGCAGATCCAGAGACATTGTCAGTCGATCAGAGATCCAGCAATTAAGGGCAAATGGCAACAGGTACAGTGAAATAAGATTGCCTTTAGTCTATTATTATTATGTATACTTGATGTTTGAAACATATGCTGCACTTCCAAACTTTTAAGATGCAGATGATGTATGTTTCAGCTAAGTGTACAACATCTTGTTCACACTATTCAGTTGATATTTTTGAGCCAATATTTCCTGTGGCATATTTAAAAGGAGTTCCTTTGTTCTAATTGAATCCATTTTCTTGTTTTCGCATAGTATGTCTGGTAATCACTGGTCTAATTGTGTATGACTGAATACTTTGGAAAAACTGTTGTGCTGATGACTTCTCTTTTCTGTTTTATCTATCTAACATGCAGTATACTAAGATAAGCGTGGATAGGTTAGCACCACTAAAATGGTTATCTGAGTAGCAGTTAATTAAAATGGTAGAATGCAAATTTGCATCAGGTTTCTAAAACTGTAAGTATTAACTCTTAGCTTGGATCTTGTAGACATCTGAATACATACCTCACCCTGCTAACAGAGAACGACTGAAATCAGTGAACTAATCACAGGTGAAGTAATGACCCTCGTTAGCACTTTCAGTATTTACGTCTTGCTGACATTTTGTGGTCCCATTTTTCATTATACAAAATATGTTCCATCTAAAAACCAAATCCTTGGATGATAAACATATAAAGGTGTATTCCAGAATAAAGAACTCATATTGTGTAAATATTTGTGAAAGAAGCACACAGCTTCTATAAAAGGTTTAATTTTGCTGTAACTGAAGAGATCATTCAAAGACATTTTTCTTAATATCGATATATTTAAGTAATGTTACTTAAAAACGGAAGCAATTTTTTTATTGCAGCAGGTGCTTTGGTTATGTTTTTGTGCTTCAAACATCTGACATTATCAAGTATTTTATGGAGTGATAGCTAAATCACTGCTGCCAAACATTTTCTAATGATAATATTTTTCATAGGTCTTTATCATAGACCTTGAAAGGTCTGTCTGCATATTAAGAGCTTGCCTGCTAAGCATATGTGTGCATAAGCAGCTGTGATAGTGCCTAGCTTTCTTGGTGATGTAATATGCTAAACATTGAATAGGAGTTATTCACTTTAAAGTATTTGTATTCAAGCTTCCCCCCACCCCAGACCATGCTAATACAAATTATGTTCATGGCCTGTGCGTATATTGAGTTGCTGCTGAACTTGTAGTTGAGATGAAGGCAAAGGATGAGTTTTTTGTTCTGTATCACTGCACTGCCTTCACTGTTAGTGTTTAGCGTTTTCTCTGATGACCTTGATTCTTCCGTTAAGCTTCTAACAGCCCTTGTCTTGTGAAGGGTAATTCCTTAAGTCTCATAACTTCGTGTGTGGTTTGAACTGTTCAGAGAAGCCTGTGTAGCATGGAAATGTGTGCTACAAGCCTCAAGTGAAAAGGGACCATTAACACAGCCTCCATTAACACAGGATTATTCCTTGGGGAAGGCAGTGGGCTCCTTTGCAGAGGATCGCACATCCTGCACCTTTGCAGGAGCTACCCTTTTAGGGAAAAACAGAATGGCCTCTGATGGTGTCACACGCACAGTTTAGAGAACTATCCCCAGAAAGATCATCAGCAGGTGGGGTGCTGCACTCTTATGTTGCTCTCATGTTCCTTCTGAAACTTCCCAACGTAGTGGTGACAGGTGAGCTTCGTCAGAATAGAACATGGCCATTACCAGTGCCAATCTCAGCTCAGGGACAGATGCCAGAAAGTCAGAAGTGTGAAGGAAATACTGTGCCCCATCCCCAGGCAGTTTGCCTTCTGGTCAATTTATGGGACTACTTGTAGCCCTTAGAGCAAATGATACAGCCCTGGAACCACCGGCTGTTCCATACCTGCCCCTGAATGGCTTAGTGAGACCTGTAGGTGTAGACCTGCTTTCCCACACGTTCTTGCTAAATAGTTGCTGCGCCTTCTCATTCTTTGCAATAGAATATGAGGGAAGCTTATGATCTTGGTGTTAGCTTTGCTTGCCAGCTCCAAGAGTAGCTATATCCAGTAACTGCCTGCAGACCAAAAGTTTTACCACAAGAAAATACTCCTTGTTCATAATGTTAAAAGAATAAAGGGATTGTGTTCTATATCCTTGTCATGAAAGAGTAATGCCATACACATGACATAAATTTAGTAAAATTCAGGTCCAGCGCTCTTGATACCAGTAATGTGCAGAAGCAAAATATTCCCATACCCATATGCTTTTTGCAAGTGGCACCAGAAGCAAAGAAAGCCTTAGGGCATGGTTAAGGAGACAAATGTAATTGCTTTTTACCTGAAAATATCTTCCTCCTCTGGAGTATGAAATTGGCTTGTTCTTTAGTTTATTCATCCTCTAAGGAATCTGAGAGGTGCAGTACCATCCTAGAGATGGAATGTTACCATTTCTAGCAGACGCTGGGTAAGCAGAGCTTTTCCGGGTTGCTGCTGGGAGCTGTCCACAATGTGAATGTGCACATAGGCAAGTGCTCAAAGAGCAGAAAGAATTCTTTTTTTTAAAACCAGTTCTTCTTTGAAATGTATTATCTGTACATACATTTGCAATCTGTCCTCTTCCATGAACCTCCTGAAGGATTCCTAGGAATTAGAAGCTGAGGAAATCTCACAGCATGAAGCATACTCTTTCTTCTTGTACATTTGTGCATGGCACATAAGCAGGGTGTATGTTCTGGTACTGCTGAGGCAATCAAGTGTTAGTATATATATTCCCCCATAAAATGGGAAAATTCATGAGAGTAACATATCTCAAAGAACATTTACAGCCATATCCCTCTAGCTAAATAATTCTTACCTGTTATGTGAACTACTGCTCTTCCTGTGTGGTCACTTTTCTATAGTGGGTGCTCTACCCTGAATGGATACTTCATGCCGAATAATCTGTTTTATTGCCCTGTGTACCACACAGGATTTTTCCAGCAGTGTATTGAGGGATGTAGAGCAAAGGTAAACCAGAAATAATTGGGATTTTGGATGAGATTCCCAAATACCTTTGGTCTGCCCTTCTTTCCTTAGGTGTCATTGTTTTTGAATTTCCATGGGGTGGTGTGGACAGAATGATGTTCAGTGCTACGGTGCAAGTATTCAGTGGCTGGTATTTCATGTAGCACAACCAGAAAGCTTCAGTTCTGCAGCTTTGCACCCTGTTATCAAGGAGTCTTTGTGCTTGGTGATGAGGGGACAATTAGGAGGAAGAGGAATGTGGATGTACATCAGCTGCTCCTGCAGATACAGATTCTTGGCTCAGTTCCACTTGAAGCAATACTGCTTCTGGAGAGATTGGGGAGAGAGATTGTGTTAGCAACCTGGAACAACCTGCAGAACTTCAAATGGAGAAAAGATGCATCCTGGAGGTCAGTGCAGAGTCCACCAAAGTGGCAGCGTGACAACATGAGAACTCCCCAACCCTTTGGAAGTTCATTGTGATTCACTGGTAACTAATTTAGGCTGGGGAGATCTGCGACCTGCTATTGAGGTCCAGTTATTTGTTTTGCATCTAGGGGGTTCTCAACTTTCTTTTGGATGGCTGAGAACAGCCCCAATCTTATCCTCACTGTAAGGCCTCTGAGCTCATTAAAAAAAAAAATTGGTTCTCTAGTGTGCGCTGAGATTTTGCTGACATGTGGGGCACATTCATCCACATAAATGTAGGATGGTCTAGAGAGATTCAAAATGTGAAAGAACTCATCTCTTTTTTTGCTTAGCAACAGTAAAAGGTAGATTTACTCTCATGACCACCACTGTGAACTTTGCTGATGTTGACATTCCTCCTGTTTATTCTGAGAGAGTATCTTGGCTGCTGCAGTCTTTTTACTAGACAGCTGGCTGGTAGGAAAGAGCTACTTCAGTGACAGTTCAGCAGCTGCAGAATGACAGGAGAGTGTGCCCCCGGGAGATAGCACTGTCTTACGACAAGGCCAGAGGCTGTCGAGCAAAACCTGCTGCATGTAACAACCATGTGCTGTGTGTTGCACAAAATAGGAGAGCACCGGGGCCTCAGCTATTGCTGAGAGGCAGAAGTTCAATGACTCTCGGAGTGCTCTGAGCAGCCAGCGAGGCACCCTTTCCAACTGCAGTCACTGAAGCAGGTGATTAGGTTCATTGCGGTTCTTGCTTTGAGAATAAACAATGAGTTGGGTTTTTTTTTTCATCTTTAAACACAATTCAGTCCAGAAGACTTCTATGAAATGTTTTTTTACAACTACCGCTAAGAATCAGTATACTCAGCTTTTGGTCACAGCGTTTTATACCCATATGTTGGGATGTGTTCTCTTCTTGGTCACTCTGTACATCTTTAGGGCTGGAATATCAAAGGAAAGCTGTGGAGCCACTGCTTGGACTGGCAGGCTCTGAAACCACTCAGTGCTGGCAATGCTGCTAGTATTGAAGAGGTGATGTGTCTGGTAGAGGCCCTGCCACATCTTCCCTCCAGCTGCACCAGCTTGTCTCCCTGCTCTGTGCTCTGTCCTAGTACTCATCTGATCACAGGGTGGCAAACCAGTTCAGCTTGCTAACCCAGCAATAACCCAATGTCCTTTTATCCTTGTTTTTTCCCCTAGGTTTGTTTTCTGCCATTTTACCAAGCTGAATTGAGTTATTATATTGAGATGAGTGCTGCAGTTGAATCCACAAGAGCAGCAATAGAGTGTGGCTGGGCAGAAAAAATGAGGAGAGACCTCCCTTTTAGGCAATGGTCAGCTGTTAACTCAGCCCATGCTGGCTCCTGAAATTGGTCAAACATGAATAACCTAAAAGTTTTCTTTGGGTTCTCTAGACACTGAGTGGGAGCCACTTGGGGGCTGTTATACCTGAGGGAACGGTGTAGCAGGGCAAAGAGACCAGGTGAGTCCAGATGAGTAGTTTCCCTGTTTGTAGGCTGCTCCTGAGTCACACTGTTCTCTGTCACCCAAAGGCTCCATAATGACAGCGTAGCCCTTCTTGGCTTGCCTCTTTGGGTTATTTTTTCTCAGCTGCAAGAAATTCTTTCTGCACCTCTTTCATCTGACCAGGTTTCTTAAGGCCTCTGAGAATTTATCAACTGTTTTTCCTCTGTGGTTTTGTTATTAAGAGTATGTTTAGGGGTTTTTTGTTTATTGGCTTGCCAGATATTGAGTAACTGATAAGGGCTGTATATTTGAGAGTTGATCTGCTCAGGGTTTTTATAAGGGTTTTTTATAAGAGGATTGTGATCAATGGCCCAGAGTCTAGTTGGAGGCCTGTAGGTAGCGGTGTCCCCCAGGGGTCAATACTGGGTCCAGTCTTGTTTAACTTATTCATCAGTGACCTGGATGAAGGCACAGAGTGCACCCTCAGCAAGTTTGCTGATGATACTAAACTGGGAGGAGTGGCTGACACACCAGAGGGCTGTGCTGCCATTCTGAGGGATCTGGGCAGGCTGGAGAGTTGGGCAGAGAGGCACCTCCCGAAGTTCAACAAAGGCAAGTGCAGGGTCCTGCACCTAGGCAGGAATCACCCCATGCACCAGGGCAGGCTGGGGGCTGACCTGCTGGAAAGCAGCTCTGCCGAGAAGGAGTCCTGGTAGGAGTTGTGGTGGACAACAAGTTGACCAAGAGCCAGCAGTGTGCCCTTGTGGCCAAGAAGGCCAGTGGGATCCTGGGGTGTTGCCAGCAGGTGGAGGGAGGTGATCCTGCCCCTCTCCTGAGCCCTGGGGAGGCCTCACCTGGAGTCCTGTGTCCAGTGCTGGGCTCCCCAGGACAAGAGAGACAGGGAGCTCCTGGAGCGAGTCCAGTGGAGAGCTACTAAGATGATGAGGGGACTGGAGCATCTCTCCTATCAGAAAAAGCTGAGGGAGCTGGGCCTGTTCAGCCTGGAGAAGAGAAGACTGAGAGGCGATCTCATCAATGTGCAGAAGTATCTGAAGGGAGGGTGTCAAGAGGATGGGGCCAGACTCTTCTTGGTGGCACCCAGCGACAGGACGAGAGGCAACGGGCACAAACTGAGACGCAGGACGCTTTGTCTGAACACGAGGAAAAACTTCTTTCCTGTGAGGGTGACAGAGCACTGGAACAGGTTGCCCAGAGAGGTGGTGGAGTCTCCATTCTTGGAGATATTCAAAAGTCGTCTGGACACAGTCCTGGGTAGTGTGCTCCAGAGGACCGTGCTTGAGCAGGGGAGTTGGACTAGATGTTCTCCAGAGGTCCCTTCCGACCTCAACCATTCTGAGATCCTGTGATAAGAAATGACCAGCAGTTGTTAGTCTATTTTCAGCTTCCAAGGCATCAAAGACTCATGGTCTTTCGGTTTTGAGATATCGTCCTCCTTTCTGGTCCATAGAACTGAGTGACAGCACCCCAGACCTCAGTCATGGCAAGTTGCTTTCCACCTACTTTTCTGCATGTATTTGAATGCTGATACGAGGAATCTACCTGTATTCTTGGAGAGCTGGAGTAGAAAGTGGCTGCCTCTTGTGGAGTGTTGCCCTGCAAGATTGATGTTATATCACTGTTCTGTACATCCCAGCAGCTATTTGACTGGATTTATTTTTGAACAGGAGGGATGTGTGTTAGATAGTTTGAGGGAACCAAGTTAGTAATCAATCACACTTGTAACTCAACAGGAAATTCTTGCATTGGGGGAATCGTCTGCTGATAGTGTGACGAGAAAGCAGAGAGACAAAGCTGGGGGAGCATGTCAAGTATTGACTCTCTTTACTAGAACAATCCTGCCCGAGCTGGATGTCCTGTGTCATTGGAAAGATACAGCTGGCCCATCTGCCATGAGTGCAAAGGCTGCTTTGCCTTGTAAAATGATAAAGCGCTTCCTGGACCTAATGCTCCTTTTACACAGATGCACTTACCACTCATGGTGAAGTAAATGCAGGTTTTGCAAGACCTGTGTAGGGCCTCAGGGATTAACCCTTCCACTTGCCTCTTTCCTTGCTGGTGTCTTGCTGAGGATAGCCATGTACATTTTTCTACAGAGTTTAAGTTTTATACCAGAGAATTTCTTTGTGCTGCTAAAATCTCCTGTTTCGTCCTTGCGGGGGGGAAATTCCTGGACAATATTACAGAGTCTAATGATACATTGCTATAGGATGCACCTGGCAGTATTTTAGGAGAATTGTAGCTTCCAGAATGAGATGATGTTCATCACTGAGTGATGTCTGTTTAATTGTTCATTCTTTTATAAACCAGCAAATGCTTATGTTTGCTAATGCTTTCTGTCTTGAATCTGGCCCACCAAAAGTGGGGGGCCGCAGCAGACGCTTTGAATATGTAGAGTGGGGCAGATGAGGGAAGAAGCTGTTCTGAGAGTCCTGAGATGGAAAAAGAGAGCCTGAGAGAGAAATGGGGTGAGCAGGAAAACATCAGGGTGGGAGGGGGGCTCTTCTAAATGTGTGCTAGCAAAGCACAGCACCTTGCATCTACCCGTCATGGTTCCTTCCTGAGCACCCAGGAGAGACGGGGGAGATCTCTGGCTGGTGGACGCATCCTTTTATCAGTAAGCACCATTGGGATGCTGCAGCATTTCCAGGCAACATTTTTTCCAGCTCCATCTCACATGGACACATGACATGAGCACAGCTAGGTGCCTGGTGTCTTTCCTTGGCTTCCTTGTAAGCTGACGATAGAGGCTGGCTTTTGATTCAGCCTTCCAGAGTAGCCTAGTTGTGGCCTCACTCAGTCGTGTGATATCCTATCCAGCCTCTGAATATCCTAATTTAGTGTTTCCTCACAAGGGCTTTTAGAGCCTCTGTCTCTTCCCAGAGGATGGAAAAGTCTAAGATATCTCTGCAGCTCCAGCTGCCAGGCTGTAACAGTGAGAGTCACGTGGCCCCAAGGTCATCTTAGCTCTAGAGTGCCAATACTGATTTCCAGACGTGCACAGCAATGCATGAACTGGTCTTAGCAGTGCATGAAAACTTCAGTGAAGAGGTGACATCTGGTTCTTATGACCCTTGAGCAGGTAAAAAGAAAGTAAGCATGAAGGTTGGTCCCACAGGGTGGAAAGCATCACTGAATGATAGGTGGAGGACTGGCAAAATGCAGTGCTGGTGCACTCAGGTGAATCCTTACATGTCTTGAAGGCACTGAAAGCTTGTATTTGCGAGCAAGAGTGTGCAGTTCATTTTTTGGCTGCTGGTGTGCAGGAAGACCTGGTCACCTTAGGATAAGAAAACTGAGCTTGTAACAAGCCCTATGACTTAAAACTTATGGAAGTGCTACGCAGGTGTTATGTTTGCTAGGCTTCAGTGGTATTGACAAAGTGAAATGGATGCCCCTAAAGAAAAGGTCCTTGATTTCACTGGGAGCTGGATCATGCCATTGGTCAGCTGATAGAAAATGACCAAAATCAAGTAAATAATCTTGAAATTATTGCTGTAATTCTAATTCTACTTCTCTGACTAGTGGCAATGGAAACTTCCAGTATAAAATTCAGCTGCATGATTCTGCAACTTGATTTCTTTCTGAGACATAATTTCCGCTTATTTTTCTTCTCTTTACTTATCATTTGAACTTATGCTACTCGGTGTTAAAGTTCCCATTTTCATTCACCAAAGAATTCCCTTGTGCTTTGACTGTACTGTGCTGTTGAACCCTTCATACAGTTAATTTTGTAATATTATATTTTACTGACCTTGCCAGTGCTATGATTGGGACCTTGGAGAATCAGAAACGTTCGGTTGGTGCCTCAGAGATGCCATAATGGTAGCAAATATGTTAAAGATCGGCCAGTGGGGCCCTTAGTAGTATAAATGTGTGTGTGTGTGTGTGTATCAGCACGCCCACATAAGTGTAAACTTCAGCACAAGTTATGGAACAGCAGTCCCCAAACTAGCAATCATGTCTCCAAGTCTGGTCATGACATTTGCAAGCAGGAAGATGAACTCAACAGAGATTCAGCTGTTTCTGCTTCATTAAGGATCTATTGCCAATCTGACAGGTCTGAGGTTAGTGAATGGAAATGCTTGGGAATCCCTGCTTTTGAGGGTAGTGTGTGTTTTGAACTACTTTCTATGGTAAAAAAAAATGAAGGGAAATTTAAATTGTAACTGTTTTAAAATAATGTATATATTTCTGAAGGTCCGACAAGAACTAGTGGAAGAATATGAGCAAGTTAAGAGCATTGTCAACACTTTAGAGAGTTTTAAAATGGACAGACCTGCAGACATCCCTGTATCCTGTCAAGATGAGCCTTTTAGAGATCCTGCTGTTTGGCCCCCTCCTGTTCCAGCTGAACACAGGTAATGAGAGGCTCAAGCAGGGGTGGATGGAATGAAATTGGGTTGCCATAAATTCATGCTCTATTTTGAATGTACTTGCAACGTGAAAATCACATTTAATTTACACCTTAATTATTTGCAGTAAAGCATAAGTATAATTCACTGGAAAAAATGTAATTAAATTACAGTTCAGTTTTATTGCTGAAGTTCTCAAGAAAGTCAGTCCTTTACGCTAGTAGGAATAGCTACCTAAGTGTCTGGAACCAGAGGCTGCTGAACAGCTAAATGAGCTTTTGATGACAGTGGCCTTTATCATGTGCAGACAGAAAACTTTTTATTTCAGTTTATTTAATTAGTTGAATTCACTGGTGGCTGGGGACCCAGTAGGGAGTTGGAACTGAAGAGCCTTGAAGGACGTGGTGGTTAGAAATTGCTCCCAAACTACAGATAATATGAGCTATATTTAATCATTTGGTTAGTTTTAATGCAAAACCTATTCTGCAATACTTGATCTTTTTCTTGTATAACCACCTTAAGGGTAACTTTAGTTAACTAATAGTTTTCTTTAAAAAAATTGCTTGTGCATTTTGTGAAATGCTAATATTCCCCCAATAGCACTTGACACTGGTTGTTGGAAGAAATAAAATTTAAAAAGAGCAAAATGTATCATGCCAGGATTCTTCTAACATTATAATAATAAAAAACCGTAATGTATGTATATTTATTTAAGCAAAGAACTGAAGGGAAATAAAGTGAGAGATCTTACTGGTTAGTAGAAAGAAATGCCAAGATTAATTGTAAATTCATGTGCCATGTGACTGTCAGACAAAGAGATTGGTCCTCCCTTTTTGAAAAACACTAAAAATTTAAGTGTAAAATAATAGTAATACTGATTAGCTCATTACTTTTGTGAATGATGCAAACTATTATCAAATTTTCTGCTATAAGACTGTGTGAAGTGCAAAGGTGTATTTGTTCATGTATCTTAGAGTTAAGGGCCTAGTATAGATCATTCCCGTTTTTAAGGTGAATTTAAATCTTGTGGAGATAAGCAAATTTAGCAGCTGTTCTATGCCATTATGTTTAATGAAAGTATATATAAAGCAAAATGTAGCACTCGTATCCTGCAGTGTATATAAGTCATATTCCAGGAAAACGTTTTTGCAGTTAGCAAATTTTGAATTATTCAGACCAAGACTCAGTAGAGGATTTAACAGGGAACATTAATTTAAGTTAGGTGACATTCCTGCCCATGTTTTTTAGTTCTATATTTGAAGTCCAGTCCCTAGAGCAAAATGACTGTGACGCCTCATCTTAGAAACAGATTCTGCCTCTTCATGCCACTGCTGAGTTGTCTTTGACGTCAATGGATGATGCACACAAGTATAGGTAGTTGCAGTTTGGCTCTATCTGCTTTTGCTTTCTAGGCAATTTTTATGTTTTGACATTTTCACACAGGGGAATGAAATTGCAAGTAGGATGACTTTTCTTCATTCTTTATCCTTTCCTGGTTTTGGGGCCTGTCAAAGCTATTAGCCAGCTTCTTGCGAGGAATGGCTTCTCTCTGTGTAGAACTTGTGCCTATGAATATAACTTAATATATTCTTATGATCTAGAGTCAGAGGAAACTAGTTTGAAGACCTTAACTGAATTCTGTTTCCTTTGTTATTGCAGGCATGTTAGTTTGTTGTAGGATTGTTTGGAACTATTGATCTAATGGTATTGATGATTTTCTTTTTTTCCTCTGCTGAAACACTTTTTTTTCTTTTTCTTTTGTATTTTTTTTCTTTCTTTCTTTTATTTCTCCTTTGGGTGTCTGACAGAACCAGAAATATGTTGCTGGATTTGCAAATATAGGGAGGTGAGACTTAGGGGCTTGTCAGCTTTGGTAATAATTTACCAAGGGAGTTAATGAAATGTTAGTCCTTCCTTTCTAAAGTTGCTCTTTTAAAGCTACTTTTAGCATGTTTTTATTGTGGTTGCTTGTTGTTAGGGCCCCACCTCAGATAAAACGTCCCAACCGAGAAGCAAAACCCTTGAGGAAAGAATCACCAGGACTGCAGCCACGTGGGCCTGCGGGCAGAGCACACCCAGCATCAAAAAGTGAGAAGTCTGCAAGTAGCCGTGAAAGGGAATCTAGAGCTAGAGGAAGAGATGACAAGGTAAGAAGTGGGCATGTAGGTGGGGGAAGGAGTTATAAATGCAGCTAGTGGCAAAAGAAGGCACTCTTATTTTTAGGTATTTGATACAAATACAAAAATATGACAGTGGTCCTGTGCAAGAAAACTTACTGCTTTCCTTTTGCATCAAGGATAAAGTCCATATCGTGAGGAGATTTAGCTGTAACGACACCAGATCAAGGAAAGTGCTGAAATGTTTGCTCTCTCTTGATTTGAGATATTTTTGTTACAGAAGCACGGTAGCCTGTTGCTAGGTGTTTCTTTTGTCTCAGCTAGATCATGGACTTGATTCTAATCTGTCAGTGTAAATCAAGTGTAAAGCTGCTTCTCCCCCTCCTGCCTTCCTTTTTTTAAGAGGGATCCACTTCAGATCTCTTGCACTTTTTACGTGGAAATCATTACAAAAGTGAAATCACTGCCCTCCTTTAGACTAATCATTATGATCAGAGTTCCACAGTATCCTTGCTTGTGTAATACCAGAGTCAAATTTAGGTGTGCTTAGAAGTTTTAGGACAGTTCTGTAAGCTCTGTGATATTCTGCAAATGTGTACCAAATTATTTAAGATTATATATTTGAAAATTATGTGATGTAGATGTAGCAAAAACAAACTCTTAGCAACTTTAATTTTCTTCTTTGTCTAGAGAAAACATTTGTATTCATTGTAATATTTAGGAAGATATTTCTTGGAAAGACACTGTAGAAAACAGTGAAATGAATTAGAATAAGTTGGAAATTCATGTATAGTTAAAGATACATGAAAGAGAAGCAGTGCTGAAGTGAAAGAAAAGGAAGCACTATGATTCACCATCAAGTAGTGATATTAAAATATCCAGGAAAGAAAGTATTGTGGCTGAAAAAGATGTCTTTGTATGCAAATTGTTATTTCTGAGAAACTTTCATTTTTAAATTTAACCGTGGAGCCAGTGCCAGGAACCCAAGGAATCTGTGGCATAAATGATACAAATCCAGAATGTACTGAAGCAGCTTTATTTCCTGACGAAGATATAAGAAGCCCCTTCCTATTGAGTACACAGATTGTACGGATCTTCATAGATGAATATGAAAATATTCAAGCTAGTTTTCCTTCACATGAATTTGGTTAGTCCCTTCAGGGCTTTTCTATTACAGATTGTTTTTTTACAGTGCACAAAGAACTCAGAGATACACTTTTTTCCATCATTAATTGTTTTTCCTTTACAGAAAAAATGTATTAAGGAATAATAGTTCTCGCTACTACTAGTAGGTACGGTCAGGCACTTGTTTAGCAGTGCCACAGAGTGACTGTGCAGGTCAAGTTTATTCATTTTAGAGATCTCTGCGCTCTAGATCAGTAAGATTTAAAATAACAAGTGTGCATCCTGCAAGCTGTAAAAAGCTGGTAAAGAACTGTGAAATTATTTACAGTTCTGCTAGTTACATGGGGAATTGGAATGATGGTGTGTGACAGGTTTAATTCACCAGATGTGTTTGTGTAAGGCGGCCTTCAAAGTCTTACCTCTAATGAGGGTGAACTCCGCTCTCAAAGCTTTCCGGTGATGAGCGTTATAGGGCTTTACTGTAAGGAGTCTACAACAACATGCCTTGTACAATACTTGTCTCTTGGAATAACGTGATTACTAGCACCACTGCTGCCAGATAGAGGAAGTATCATGAAGGTGCTCCATTTAATATGGTACATTTTAAATGCTCCTCTTATGTGAATAAATTGGTCACTAGGTGGCAGAAGGAAAATAGTTACTAATGTCTACTCTTCATAAAATAGCAAGGCGTATGCTCTTGTTTTTTCATTCATCTAGCTATGTGGCAGTTATTTTACTTTCTTTGTCTAGTATATGTGCAAAAAACGTGCCAGATTACAAATTCTTACATGTTGTACAACAATTTTGATAAGGAATCTATGATTTTTCCTTTGAAGAGAGAATTTCAAATGAAAGAGGAAATACCCAGGGGTGGGAAGTGAAAGAGGAAATAGCCAGGGGTAGGAAGTGAAAGCAGTTGCTGCAACTTTCCATAGTTCATACAAGCATGAAAATAGGTTTAACTTCCCTCTCAGTTTTATCCTTTCTTAGTTTGCAAGTGTTGATGTTTTTCAGTTTCTGGAGTGGAGCTAGGAAAAGCTTACCACCATAGTCTAGTAAGTCAAATCAAAGAGGTTCGGTGACTCTTTATGTTCACCTAAAAGTAGCAGGGCAAAACTGCACAACTTGAAACTGAAGTGACTGTGTGACTATTTTCTCCTGTAGTGATTTTTTTTGCTCTATAATTCTTGGCTTTGGATGCTTGGCTAGGACTACTTAAAAGGTAACATATGCATTTCCTAAGATGCTGGTTGCAGCACAATATATAATGTGCATATTTATGGTATTTTTCAAGATAAATATGGCTATAATATTTGTATTTTAGAAATATTTTGCCTCACTATGTGAGGCAAAATCCTTCCAAAACCATATATTTTCGTTTGGACTGTAACCCTGTAGGGATAAGTTTTGCCCTGACCATGCACTAAAGCATAGCACTAATGGAGCACTCATATCTCCTTTTGTAGTGCTGTATCTTGAACTGAAACCAACAGGGGTGGTGTTTATTCACTAAGTTGTCATATTTACATGTTCCTTCTTCTAAAGGCCTGCTTTCAAGTGCCTTTTTCTTCTTAGTTCCCTTAGAAGTCTTCAGGCTTGTTCTCAAGGTATCCTGTGCTGGATT